GTCCCTATCTGTTTCAAGCCCTAAACTTTTGAATTTCGCTTGAATCAATTCTCGACTTGTACCATTACGTGTGTATAGCAAACCATGTCGTCCTCGAAGCGCGTAGAGCAGATTGCTGGTCACCTGAACTACCCTAAGGGTATGTTGGCGGGCCAGACTGCCATTATTACTGGATCTGGACAGGGAATCGGAGCCGAGGCGGCGAGGCTGTTTGCGAAGGAGGGCGCAAAGGTTGTGGTTGCTGATGTAGACGCAAGTGAGTCAATGGAGCGCATATGGAATATCCCGCGAGCCTATTGCTGACATGTATACAGAAAAGGCCGAAGGGGTAGCTGCTGAGATCAACTCGTCAGGCGGCAGCGCAATAGCAGTAGCAGGCGACGTACTCGACGATGCCTACATCAAGACACTGATCTCCAAGGCAGCCGAGTTTGGCGGAGGCAAGATCCACATCATTGTCAACAATGCGGGCTACACATGGGATGGCGTCATCCACAAGATGACGGACAAGCAATGGCAGACGATTATCGACTTGCATGGGACAGCGCCCTTCAAGATTGTGCGCGCTGCAGCGCCATATTTCCGGGTCAAGGACGGCGAGCCCAGGAACATTATCAACATCTCGAGCACGAGCGGCTTGCACGGAAATGCTGGGCAGATCAACTATGCGCTGGCCAAGGCGGGCGTGACGGGCATGACCAAGACGATTGCCAAAGAGTATGTCCTCTGCAGTTCCCTCTCTCCGTCAACATTTATCCTAACGTGTATCTAGATGGGGCCCTCAGTTTGGCGTGCGGGCAAACACGGTCGCTTTCGGACACATCCAGACGCGGTTGACGGCAGCAAAGGAGGCAGGCGCATTTGTGACAACGCCCGACGGCGAGAAGGTGGCAATCGGAATACCACAGGCGCAAAAGAATGCCGTGCCAGAGGCCCAGCAGCACGCGGACATTCCGCTGCGCAGGCCGGGGACAGCGACGGAGGCGGCGAGCGCGGTGCTGGCTGTTGCGAGCCCACTGTTTAGCTATGTCAATGGAGAGACGATCAAGGTCACTGGTGGCCGGAGCATGTAGAGGACGTGGAATTGAGTGTGGCTACGTGCCAAAGTATAAATAATAATGGAAATGGTGATTCCAGTCTCAAACGCGGGCTGCGGTGGAATTGGAATGGAGGGTTTCGAGTACCAAGGCCTTGGGACATGACAGGGACTCGGCGGCGGACGCTGATCCGCAACGCCAACCCCAGACGCCTCAGCCATGGTCTTTCGGCAACATCGAGACCAGACGTAATCACTGGCCTCGTTCTGCTGCATTGTCGCGCCTATTCATACCCGCTTGTTGCCGCCATTACTCCTAGCCACCCCTTCCAACATGTCCATGTGCAATCGGTAACCCCATTCCATCCACCTGCATCGCTCGTACCAAGCATTCGCCCGCGGGCGAGCATCCCCTACCTACCAACACGTTGCGCAACGCCGCATTTAATCCCACCAGGACCACGGTCCTCACCAGCTCGCCATGAGTGACGAAAAGCACAACTACGTCCGCGAGCCCTCGCCGCCCCCCATCCCCACATATGACGAGGCCACCTCGTCGCGCAATGCGCCGGCACGCCTAGGACCAAACGAGATCAGCGACGACGCCGAGCGGCAGGGCCTGCTGACCCCAGATATTCGCACACAGTCCGACTCACGGAGACGCAACGGATACTACCAGCCGCCCTCGGTCCAGTCGGTCGACGATGGCGACTCGGACCTGGGCAGCCCGGTGCGGGAGAGCCAGGACGAGGCCCTGCGCCAGACCATGGAGGAGATGGAGATATTAGACCCGGAAGCCGCAGAAGAAGGAAGGTCAAGGAGGAACCGAACGCGAAATCGCTTCTCCAAGCGCTTCAACAGCATACGACACTCGCTGTCGAATTGGAATCTGCCCCGGATACCCTGGCCGTCATGGCGTCCCAACTTCAGTGCTGTCACTGACCACATGCCTACTATATCCGAGGAATACAGGCCTGGCTGGGCCATGTTTGCGCGTCTGCTCGGCCTTTTCGTCATCGTCATACTCGTCTACTTCTTAGTTGCCAGCGAGGTGGTGCCCATGGGCGGCGGCTTCGGCACACCCTTTAATCCAGAGTGGATCCGCCAGACGGCCGTCGAGGGTGTTGAGAGCTGGCGAATTGAGAAGAATCTCGAATATATTACGAGCTACGATCACATTGGTGGCACAGAGGGAAGCTACGTGCTGGGACAATGGATCGAGGGAAAGTTCAAGGACGCGAACATGGATACTTTTACACATGACGAGTATGTCAGGCTGGAATGGGGAATTTCCCGCCATATGCTGATTTGAACAGATATTTTGTTTATATGAACTACGCAAAGAAGAATGGCCGAAAAGTTGCCATTGTCGATCCGCCAGAAAAGGCTTGGGAAGCAAAACTCGAAGAGCCGTCCGTTTTCAACCCACCAAAAGCCCAGACGCCTGCGTACCATGCAATGTCAGCGTCTGGAAATGCCACTGGACCTCTGATTTACGTCAACTACTGCCACAAGGAGGACTTTAAGCGGTTATGGGATAGTGGCATAGATGTGCAAGGTGCAATTGTGCTCTGCCGATACTACGGAACACAGCCAGATTTGGCCATGAAACTAAGGTCTGCGCAGAATGCGGGCGTAGCCGGTGTTCTGGTATACTCCGATCCGGCAGACGACGGATTCAAAAAAGGCAACCCCTGGCCCGACGGCAAGTGGCGACCTGGCGAGAGCGTACAGCGAGGCTCAGTTGCTCAAACCAATATGATCATGGGAGACATTCTCACACCTGGAAAGCCGAGTTTGAAGAAGATGGAGCGCATGTCCCGGGACAAGAACCCAGCAGTCCCAAAGATTCCTAGTCTACCCTTGTCGTGGAAGGATGCGCAGAAACTACTCCAGTCACTCAAGGGCGCTGGTGAAGAACTTCCAGATGAATGGGTCGGTGGTGTGCCAGATATTGGCGACAAGTGGTATTCTGGCCATCCGGAAAAGTCACCCAAGGTTTATATCCAAAATAATCAGGATGAAGTGGAACAGCAGCGTATCACAAACGTTTTTGGATCCCTCAAGGGTACAGAGGACCCAGGTCGGAAAATCATCATTGGAAACCACCGGGACTCATGGTGTTTTGGCGCAGCCGACCCTGGCTCCGGCACAGCAGTCATGCTCGAAGTTGTACGTGTACTCGGTGAGCTTCGTGCTCAGGGCTGGCGGCCTCTGCGTACTATCGAGTTTGCATCCTGGGATGCTGGCGAGTACAACCGCATCGGGTCCACGGAGCACGTCGAAGCGAACGTCGACGCCCTCCGCGAAGGCGCCATCGCCTACCTCAACCTCGACGTCGGCGTCACGGGCGACAAACTCTGGGCCAACGGCTCCCCCATCTTCCAACACGCCTGGACGCGGATCCTCGACCGTCTCTCTGACCCCCACGAGAACAAAACCCTCCGCGAGCTCTGGGACGCCTCGACGAGCAAAATCGGCAACCTCGGCGCAGGCAGCGATTACGTCGCCTTCCAAAACATTGCAGGCACCTCGTCCCTCGATTTTGGCTTCTCCGCCTCCACCTCCCCCAAAGACGGACCCGCCCACCCCCTCTCCCACAGCTGCTTCGAAACCCTATCCTGGATGCGCAAATACATCGACCCTTCCTTCTCCTACCATACCCTCCTCACCCAACTCACCCTACTCCTCATCCTCGAGCTCGCCCAAGAACCCATTCTCCCCCTCAAACTCGACGACTACGCCTCGGCCCTCCAGCAGCAAGGCCAATCCCTCCTCGACTGGACCGAGAAGATCAGCGGCGGCGCCGATTACGACATTGGCATCTTCCAGCCCCTCGTCGATGCGCTCAGCATGTTCAAGAAGCGCACAGAGGCGTTTGGCGCCTGGGAGCAGAGCTGGTACAATCAGGTCTATGCCACGGGCGGCTTTGAATCCAGTGGCGTTACTATGCAGCGCGTGAGACATAATGCAAAGATTGGCGGCGTTGAGAGTGATATGTTGGATTTGCCGAGGGGGAAGGAGGATAAGGGCGCTCATGGTGTAAGTGTATTTCCCTTTTTTCTTCTTTTCTTGCTGGGTCTGAAGAAGCAAACTTTTTTTTGGGGGGGGGGGCTGACATGTACGGATTTTTTTTTTAGTTGCCGAATCGCGATCAGTTCAAACATGTTCTTTTCGCCCCCGATCCAGAAAATGGTAGAGAGGCTACCGTTTTCCCTTTTGCTCGCCAGGCTATTGCCACTAAGGATTGGAATAAGGCTGCTGAGGCGATCAAAATGACGGCTGATGTGTTGAATCGTGCAGGTGAGAGACTGGGGCAGTAATCTCTCTCTCTTCCCCCCCCCCCCCCCCCNTGAGGCGATCAAAATGACGGCTGATGTGTTGAATCGTGCAGGTGAGAGACTGGGGCAGTAATCTCTCTCTCTTCCCCCCCCCCCCCCCCCCCCCCTTCCCCTCTTTGGTTTTTTTGGGGCCTACTTTGCACCCTTTTTGGCTGAGATTTTTAGAGTTTTAGCGGAGCTGGTGAAGGAAGGATGGGTACGGGGGGGGATTAGATAATGGAGAGGTTTCTTTTGTGAGACTCTTTCTACCTCTCTTTTTTTTTTGTGTTTGTGTGTTAGTGAGAAAGAGAGTGTCTGTATGGAGATGGAAGTGCATTTATTGGGCGTTTTTTTTTGTATCCGTTTTTTTCCTCTAAATGGTGTAAGTAGAAGAAGAAGGAGGAGGGGGGGAGGCATACGAAATAGTTGTTGTTGAATCTATAGTCTCTCTCTGTCTTAGAGGAAATGGGTTACTTTTTTGTGAATTGAGAAAGAGTGGATGATGCGAGGTGTGTGTCTCTATTTCTAGGCTTTCCTTCGATTCAAATTTACTTGCAAATAGAGATTTAGATATTGGGTATCATAGTAATCCAGGATAAAACCAAAAGAGAGAGAGAGAGAGAGAGAGAGAGAAACAGCAGTTGTTACGCCGCGTGCTCAGTCTTCCCAGCATCTCCCTTTTCCTTTGGACCATCCTTGTTATCTACATCCTTTGAAGCATCCCCCTCATCCTCCTTACGACTACCAACCCCCTCATCTTTCCCCAACAACTCGGCCCCCAGCTCATCCAAAAACCTCTCCGCCTGGCCCTTACTCCTCTTCTCCAAAATAACCCTCTTCTTCTTCCGAATCATCTCCTTTCTCTCCTCAACCCTCCTCGCCCTCTCGCTTCTAACCCTCTCCGTCTCCTCTCTCTCCTTCTCCATCCGACTCATCTGCTCCCTCCTCTCGTCCTCATCCTTTGAAAAATTAAAGAAGCCCATACCGCGCTGCCGGACCTCTGCGCGGCCGTCAAAATGCAGGTCGGGGGGCGGCGTGAGTTCTTTATCGCGTTTGGCGGCTAGCTCGGCCATTTGCTGGGCAATGGTGGCGTCTGGGTTGAAGGCTTGGGTTTGGACGGCGTCGCCGTAGATGAGCGTGGCAGGCATGCTGGGGCGCGCGGTGAAGCGGTCGGGTTCGTCGGCGGCGAGAGTGCGCTTGCGGCGTTCTTCACGCGCGGCGTCTGCGCGTGTGCCTTTTCGCGTGCGCCCGAATTCGTCAATGTATTCGACTAGTTCTTGCTCTTCTTCGTCGTCGTCTGAGGATTCGGAAGATGAGGCCGAGGCTTCGCCTTTTTCTTGCTTGTCCGCCCATTTTTGGTCAAAGTCTACGCCGTATTTTTCGTCGACGTCTTCGACGTCGCCGCGCTTTAGGGCGTCGTAGAGACGGGCTTTCTCTTCCATTCGCCGCTTTGTGCGCTTCCAGGCAACTTCGTCCTCGTCTTTTTCCTCAGCGGTGCGGCCGCGGTGCTTTTGTGTAAAGTCTGCATCTTCGAGGTCCTTGAGTGCGCGCTTCTTGACGTTCTTGTTGTGCGTCTTGAAAATGTCCTCCTTTTGCGGTCGCGCGCGGCCGGCGGTGGGCTTGTTGGATTCGGCAGACGAGCTCTTGATGAGGTTGGAAAGCGTGGACGCAAAGGCGAGGCTGCTCGAGCTGGAGATTTCTTTTGCTTTGGCGCGTCCTTTTGGACGTGCGCCGTAGAGATGGGCGTCTTTGGATGACATGTGTGGTGTTTGGGGTGTGGAGCGCGTTGTAGGGATAAGGCGATGTCGGCGGTGGAGTCCTGGACTCTTGCGTCACTACGCTACCCCACTCATTATTTTGCGTAACCCCACGTTTGAATGATGAATGCGCGGTTCCGCAACTGACTGAGCCTCATACTGTGAAGACTCATAACTTGTTCGCACCTTGAAGAAAAGTCCCTATATCTTTGTTGCGTTGTGCAATTTCCAAGACCATTTGACCACAGAAACACATATACAGACACACATACAATGCCTCTTCCTCGTCAAGTCTTCATCGCCGTTATCGGTCAGCTACCTCACTTCCTATGCTCAAACATGCATCACTGACAGCATTTCAGGTGCTGGTGGAGTAGGCAAAACCTTCCTCTCCCAACTATCCGCGCTCTCCAAGCGCCTCTCCCAATCGCCCTCATCGCCATACTATCTTTCTCTCATCTGGCTCAGCACCTCTAAGAAGGCCGTATACCACGCAGACTACAGGTCTGTCTCCAACTGGGAGTCTGAACTGCAAAACACGTCGAGCGCGCCTCTCCCTCTGCCACAGCTATGCGAATACCTACAAAAGGCACCTGGAAAGGTGGTCCTGGTAGACAACACCAGCAGCCAAGATGTGGCGGATAGCTACCCTGCCTTGTTGAAAAAGGGCATCAGCATTGTCACACCAAACAAGAAAGCATTCTCGGGAAGCTACGAGTTGTGGACTCAGATCTTCAACGCTGCGAGCAACGGCAATGGCGCTGGGGGCTACGTCTTCCACGAGTCGTCGGTCGGCGCAGGACTGCCCGTCATTTCAACACTCAAGGACCTGGTGGAGACAGGGGATGAGGTGACCAAGATTGAAGGTGTCTTTAGCGGAACAATGAGCTTCCTGTTCAACTCGTTCCAGCCGCTGGGCGGTGGCGGGGGCAAGTTCTCCGCCGAAGTCACGTCTGCAAAGGAAAAAGGCTACACGGAACCAGATGCGCGCGACGATCTGAATGGCCTGGATGTCGCTCGCAAACTCACGATTCTCGCCCGCCTGGCTGGCCTCAAGGTGGAATCGCCGACTTCGTTTCCTGTTCAGTCACTTATCCCCAAGGAACTCGAGTCGTGCTCTTCGGGCGATGAGTTCCTCGAGAAGCTGCCACAGTTTGACGATCAGATGGAGCAGCTCAAGGCAGATGCAGAAAAGGAAGGCAAGGTCATTCGCTTTGTGGGAAGCGTCGATGTGCCGGGCAACAATGTCAAGGTTGGTCTTGAGAAGTTTGACAAGAGTCACCCGATTGCGGCATTAAAGGGTAGTGACAATATCATCGCTTTCTACACCAAGCGATATGGCGATAACCCACTGATCATCCAAGGTGCGGGCGCTGGCGGAGAAGTCACGGCCATGGGCGTCACTGCCGATCTAGTAAAAGTCTTGAGATTGCTTCACTAGCTTGGGAAATAGCGGTGATGATCAAGGGAAAAAAAATGACGAAATGAAAATGGGGTTCCAGTACCAAGTGAGGGAATTTCCTTTTCAAAAGTGAGTTTCTGGGCATGCATTTGTATGAGCAAATTACCAGGCACACCAAGCATGGACAGGCCAGATGGTATATGGTACGCCATCCTAGCATACCATCTCGTCGACAAAAAAATCCCTCTGGCTTACTGCCTGTTCTGTATTTGTAATTGAGAAACATTTTCATGCATGGCTGAAAATGACTACGACTTGCATGGTGTGACGACACCCAAACAAACGCTGACAGAAGTCCTGAAATAACCTTTGTGCTTGCACGTTCTCTGATGAAGACGTGTCACTTCCATCGGTGATGCCCAGGTTGTGGCTTACATGCGTCCGTCGGTGTTACCAAGACTTTGATAAAAGTAAACGTGCCGTTCCGTCTTGGTGCTTGACCCCGGTAACGAAGGATCACAAATGTGCAGTAATAGACTTTAATGAGGCTACTGTCGGGATGCTTGGGCGGTTATCCGAAGTATTGTTTTCCGAGACGTCATTATCCGAAGTGTTGTTATCGGCAAGTTCTACCTCGCTTGCTGTGATTCAGCCCACAAATCGAATGCGGGGTGGTACACCGGGGCTGTGCATGTCCACCATAGTATAGACCAGATAACAGAACGTGGAGTAAGCAATGGCTCGGTGTTGGTGTACCGCGGCCCGAGCCTGAGATACTTGGGGAGCCGTATGAAAAAAAAAGACGCAAATGCAAACTTGCCTTGGACTAGGGGTTGGCGATGATCCTGCTGCTAACGAAGTAGAGTATTGCTCTGCTGTGGAGCGTGATGTAGGCAACCCGTGTTTCGCCGAGGAGTAGGTCAAAACGACGGTGTAGGACTGTCGTTGACTAGAGGGTCTAGAGTGGAGAAATTCCTTTTTTTCCTACCAACCATAGGGCATATGCAACCTTTTAGTTTTTTGGGAGTATTGACCATTAGTATTGCTACCTCGCATCCAAACGAGACAAGTGAGGGTTGCTGGATTCCCGAGTTATGTGCAGGCCGAGCCCTGGCGCGTATATGGAATTGCAGATTGGAAGCGTACGTGCTTACTGGTTAGTGGACCCTAGGGTCAGATCATGAGCCGTCTCTTACATAAGTTTGGATACATGAGCATGTGTGTAGGATCAGCCAAGCTTTTCTTGTGCGGACGGTGTCATTCTTAATCATGCTTGATGTGCATGGAGAGTTGGCGGAGAGTTGGCAAGTCACAGCGAGGGAGTGTCGGAGACGGTGGCATGTTGATCTCGCCATGTCACCACCATCAGAGAGTCGGGGCGCGTGTTTGATGAGCAGCCGAGGCAGAGGTCAGGCCACACTACCACGACCACGGTGTGGCAGAGGCAGTCTACTGTGGGTGGATTTGTTGGCTCAGGTATGGAGACGCATCACAGGGAAGGCTGGGGCAGAAGGCGCCGATAGCGTGGTACGAAAGGTCAAGCTTGGAGGGTGTTGTTACCAGTGTGTCGGGAGCGACTGCTGCCTTGGAGGGCGTTGGAAGGGGTGGACGGGTGTCGCCCAGGGCCGGCCATAGGCCAGCAAATGCCTCGCTGGGGGTGACAAGGCAGATGGCCAAGAGGATTTCCAGACGGCAGTCGAGGGGCTGGCAGTCGAGGTATGCGCTGGCGTTGGTGTTTGACGGACAGAGCGGGGTGTGAGTGCTAGGGCTGGGATGGAGTGGATGGACGGGCTGCCAAGGCGGGACTAGGAGGGTAGAACGGGCGCCAAGAGGGGTGAGCAGCGCGTGAGAGGAGCGGAGCGAATCGCAGGCAGTTGCAGAGGCCAGCCGGCGCATAAAGGCGTTGAGGCTGTGCAGTTGGGCCGACAAAGACGCTCGCATCACGGGCGACCTGACACAATCGCAATCTGCGGGCGCCCGAGGGAAATGGAAATTGGCCGTGGGCGGTTTCGAGGGCGAGTGCGTGCGTGTGCGTTCTGGAAGAAAAGGGGCGTGCATTTCCCGCAGGGCTGAAGAGTGAAATGGAGGGGCGGTCTGTGCAACGGCTGTCTTGCTGGATTGGGCGTGCTGGCTGATGGCTCCCACTATCGCCAGCCCTGCTGGTATGCGCCCTCGCCATGTCTTGCCGGAGAGATGCATACGCTGGCGTGGTTGAGCGACAGCACTCGACCTGCCTATGCCCACGCCATGGCAATATCCAAGTGCGGCCTGGTCTGGCGCCCTTTGGTCCACGCAGCGGTCAGCATGTGCGGAGCCTGGCCGCAGAGGCGCATAGCAGCAGTAGTAGTGTGCTATGGAGCAGCAGTAGCAATGGTGTGGCGCTGGCGTTTGGTTCTCTGTCCTTTACGCCAAACACTGGCCGCGGTCGCTGGCCGGCAGAGATGATTCAGCCGACGAGGGAGGCGGCAGCATGTGGAGTACATGTGCGGCCACGAGGCATGACTTCATCCAGCAGCGCTGCATGGCCAGGGCATGTGGTGGATCAGCAAACTCAGTGACGAGCGAGGAGGGGTTTCCGCTCGCTACCGGCGCCGAAAGCTGCATCGCTGCTGGCTGGTTCCAGGATTGAGTAGGGAAAAAACCATGATGGTATACATACTACAGGCTTGCGTACATGGGCACATGGGTAAGGATGTATGTCAGTAACCAAGTCCATGTCTACGCACATGCGAATAACCGCCAGCCATGACGCACACAGAAACACAGCCAACGCAGTCGATCAAGCACTGGCAGACTGAGCCACCGTCTCCGACTCGGGCTGATCGCAGCGCCAGAGCCAGAAACAACCGTTTTGGTCCGTCCCTTGGGCAAGTTGAAGCAAACGCAGGCAACCAGCCAGCCAGCCAGCCAGCCAGCCAGCAGCCCCTGGTCATTCGTCACACACGAGTCTGAGCCCGCACCGTGTCAGGGCGGGTGTGGACAGCGAAAAAAGCAGCCGACCACTCCGCTGAGACCAGGGGCAGCAGTGCCAATCGCGTGGCCGCCCTCTTGCACACGGCTGCTGCTCGTCTCGCTGCCTGGGAGCGGTGAGAGGCGCGCAGGCGTGATGGACATGTTCGTCCACCATTATCCAGCATTCTGGCACAGATCGACTTGGGCCAGCATGTTGGTGCTCCCTTAGCGCACAAGCCGCGTGCTGTGTCCCGGCGCCGCGACCGACATGGGGCGTGAAGGGACATGTCACCCTAGCCTGCGTTTAGCACCACGAGCGTTGCCGGCCTTGGGCTTGGGCATGGGCATGGGCACACACCCTTCATCGCCCTTGGATACACAACACCCCCCCCCCCTGTCGAAACTTTGGCCCGCTCCGCCGCCCAGCGGAGTGGGCAATGGGTGTGTTAAATAAGGACACGCTGCCTGTGCCGTCGTCCCAGCAGTCACACACCCAACACGCATGCCCATCCACCACTAAGGCCTGACCTCACCATTCCCCCCCTGCAGCAGCCTCCGTCTTGACCCAACACCGCTATCGTCTGGTAAGACGAATCCTCCCAGGCCGCCGACGCCAATCCCTCTCGTCATTTCCTCAACTCCGAGCCCTGGGCTGTGCTAAGCACCGTCCTCTTTGGCCCTGTTCGTCCTAAATTCCGCCGTTCAACCTGCCCCGCCCAATTTGCCTTTTCAAGCGAGTAAGGGGCGATCGTCCATTTCGGCCTATCAGCTGCTAGTCCTTGGCACACGGCATTACTACACTGTCCACCACTTTCCCCCTCCACCGTCCACCCGCTTATAACACCGGTCCCGCCGCCTGCTCGTCTCGGCACCATAGACAGACTCATTAACACGACTGTCCTCCTCGCTCACCCAGCCCTCTTCACCCACGCACCATCCTCACGGCCAGCCCAGCACTGGCCACTAGTCTCTACCCCGGATTGCCATTGCCACCCGCCGTCCTTGTCTCGTGACAGCGCTCCGCACGTCACCTTCCACTCCGCCACCACGACTTCCACAACCGCTTTGCCGTCTCCCAAAACGTCTTGCCACGACCCGGCTCGCAGAAGAACCTATCTCGAAATCACCTGAAGCCAAATAGCAGCAATCGCAACAATGTGTGTCGCCGAACTCTGCGTTACGGTGCTCCCGTGCAAGCACCGCTGGTACCATCTCGTCCGCCCATGCACTCCCTCTAGCAACCTCTCGACATGCGGCAAGAAGCTAGGAATCTCAGGATGGGAAGTCAAGTGCAACCACTGCCCTTACTGCCACGGCCACGTTTCCGAGTTTGAGTACAAGCTCATTGGTGATGGCCCGGCTCCTCCCGTTGGATCCCTCTCCGGACTTGCGCGTGCACACTCTACCTCACTCAACGCAGCCCGTCGCGACATCCGCCTCGACAACATCACCCGCACCGACAGTGCGACCAGTGTAGGCAGCAAGAGCAGTCTCGTCACAGCAGCATCAGAGAAGAACCGTGCCATGAACTCACGCCTGGATGCCTACTTCTTCCCCTCGCCCGACTCACCATACCCTGCTGTCCGGGAAGACGACACCGAGAGCAACCCTGGCGGAAGCCCCAGCGAAACTTCGGTCAGCGACTACTCCAGCGTCCGCCACGCCTCCATCTCCATGCCAGCTGGCGCAGAGACGCACAAGGCCAACATGCTCTCACGTGTGCGCCAACGAACCAAGCGCATCTCTGGCATCTTCCGGTGATTGGCCCACTCATGTCAGCCACCTCTTTGTTTCCTTTGCTCTTTCATCTCCTCTCCTCTTCCTTCGTCGTGGTAGCCCTGGATGGCGCCGCTCAAAGCCAAGGCGCGCAGGTCTAGACCGTGGCGAAGAAAGCGCTTCTCCGCCAGATCCACACAGGCACACAGGCACCAGCCCTCGGCCCGGATAAACATGACCATGGCACAATCACATGTGCATTGGCCACAGGTCCCGGACAAGTAGCATTTACCACGACGACTACTCCACTCTTTATTTGCAGCGTCTGCGTTTTTAGCCTTTTGGATTGTCTAGCGCCTTCTGATTTCATGTTTATACTTTGGATACCCACTGTTCTGGTGCGCAACACGCGCATCAGCATGTCTCGGCCACACGGACATGGGCGTTTTTTTTATCTTTCTTTCATTTCGGCCCCCGGCGTTTATACGGAAAATGACGGGGAACGGGTTTCATGGATTTTGGTTGGGCGCATCTTACAGACATGGCACGAGCAAGGGATGATGTGCTCCGCTCCTGGTTGTGGGATGGCTTTTACGAGGTCTGTCTTGGCGTTGGGCTGCGATGCAGGCAAAGTCACACTGTCGAGGTAAACGGGTGTGCGTTCCCTGACAGGACGAGCACAGGCGCCGCCGCCGCACAGGGTTCGCCTATTTTTCTTGTTTGGCCTCGTTGCTCCCAGCTACGCCGTTTCACGAATCGCATGGAATGGATTTGTGCACACTTTGTTCTAGAAGCTAGCATTTTTTATTAGTTGGAAATAACCCGTTGTTTTTACCACTACTCGCATCTTGTTACGTATTTGACGACTCTACTCTACTCTAGGCCTGGCTTCAACCCACTGCCCACACCGTATATTGAGAGTGCAGCGACGATAACTGTCTGACCGCTACAAGCGGAGCCAAGAGGACAAAGTTATCGGCCTAGGGAAGAGACTTGTACACCGCAAAGCAAGCATCGAGGGCTTGGCTTCCGCCCGCCGGATCCACGGCGACTCACCTAGACAGACGCTACTCCATGCCCAGTGCCGCCAGGAGGAGTAATAAGCAAAGTTAATGCGTGCAAAGACAAAATCATGCCACTGGCCGCGCTCTAGATGGATGCTTTTGTAGCCACCCTGCCGAGCCACACCACCTGTGCCACATCTCCACCCTCCCTCAGCTCTGTTTCGGCGTCACTCTAGACCCCCCTCACGATGCACGGACGCGTCATCGGCCTTTTTTTCCATGTCTCCTCTGCCCACTCGCCGCGCTATCGATATCCACCCGCAGTCATACTTACACTACACGACATGGCTGCAGGCTACTCTAGCTGTACAGATTCGACGGAGCTCCAGGATACGTAGCTGCAGCCATGCTTGTCGCCGGCTCACTGCCAAGGCCCGGTACTTGGTGAAAATGCTCGCACTGGCATTGGAGAGTGGATAGTGGCCAGGGGAAAGGGTGAGGGGTGTGTTACACATACACACTTTCACACACACACACTCATATGTACATACAGCCATGTATGCATCTAAGTACATCTGTACAAAGTTACGTACATGCATGCGGATATCAACCGACCCTGCTGCTGCCTCCTTTCCTCCTCCGCCGCCGCCGCCGCCGCGCCCGCGGTCGCCGCCGTCACCGCGCATGGCTTGCAAAATATTTTCGATCACCAAGGCAAAACGCTTCACACAACCCCGGCATGGAGATCCGACAAGGAAATCCTTTACGCCAACAGCGGTTGTCCATTCACATGCTCTCTATGTGTTACCTCCTCTTGCCCTATGCTGCCGCGATTAGCCTCTTTTCCTTTCTCGCTCTCCATACCCCCCCCCCCCCCCCCCCCAAACTCTATTCCCTGGCGCCTCTCGTATGACAACCCGATGCCGCGACCACCTTCCCTAGACGTTGACAACTTTCCTACCCCAGCTTCGGTGACGGCAACAGTAGGATAGGGTTTCGGCGAGAACGGCCAAAATATGGCAACTCACGCGCATCATCAAGATCATCGTTCGATTAGTCATGCTGCGTGTCTTTCAGGTTTTCCTGACCTGCCTGTTTGGAGCCTTTGATTCTCAACTATGAAGTTGCATACTCGCACACACAAGGGTAAGCTATCTTGCAGGCTTGGGAGAAATCAAGCTATACCAAGCACCGTCAATGAACCTGATTATCGTTTTTGCTTTCTTTTTACCCCTCTTTCCTGCGTCTTTTTCGTCTTTGATTTTCCTTTTCGTACCTCAAGTCTGTGTGATTGTCCTGAAAGTTTGGTTCTGGTGATGCTGCGTCAATGCCGATCGTAGTCTTTGGCGAACCTTGGAAGAAGAAAAAAACACCACGAGACAGCGCGCCGTACGAGGGGAAGCGGTACGTGCACCGAGCAAAACAAAATTCAAAGGTAGCATTAAGCTTGCCCAGCCCGCGATCAGCATGCTTGTTACGCTCTTGCCGTCGTCAAAGGATGCTGAGAATAAACAAAGTTTCCCAAAGTCGACGCACGGTAAAGTTTGATTTATCGGAGGGTATGTGCACAGAAAGAAATGTTTCACGCACGTCCACGCACGTCCACGCACGTCAGTGACGATCCTAAGAAAGAAATAAAGGTTCAAAGGATAAGCATAGCTAAGAGGTTGCAAGTGCGAGGCTTGTTTTCGGCCGACCCGCTATATTTGCGTCGCACGAATTCCCCCTCCATTATTGCGGCTTCTGTTACATTGCAGAACAGCATGGAACCGGCCATTGTATTCGTGACACTGGCTGTGCTACGTTGTACCACTCATAGTACCTTGTAATGCAACAAAAACACAAACAACCCCTTCAGCCATAGCTAGGTGTCGAAACAACCTATCCAACCAACTAACCTTTTGTCCGACTCAGCCGCAGTGTTACAAAACCCCCCCTTTACTCTATGTGACGACGAAGCAATCTCAAGTCATACGCATCCTCACGCAACCCCTCCCTTCTTCATCTCCCACTCCTTTCCTTTCCAAGGTGTGATTCCATCACACCCACTAAATTACTCCGCAAAATGCAGTCAATCAGTACCAGTTACCAGTACCAACTCTTCAAACTCCCCTGTCCATCACCGATCGTCCCCCCCTCTCCCCAAAATCAAGCTTTCCCCCCTCAACAAAGCACCCCTCAAAAGAAGAACCCCCAACAATCCACAGATCGCCAGATTTCAAGCCTTGTTTTTCTGATCGTCCCATCACCCATNCCCCCCCTCTCTCTCTCTCTTTCCAAACCTTCCTTTCCCACACACTAGACAAAAGAATACAGAAAAAAAAAACGGAAAAAAGCATCACCTAACCAAAAACCAAAAAAAAAAACTTTAATCCGTTTTCTTCCCTGCGTGATATCACACACACACACACACACAGAGCCATGTTATGGCAAGCCGGGAGACATACCCCTAACTCAACTCAAGCTTTTTTTGCCTTGAAGCGAATGATCCCATTTTAGATAACAACCACCATATGTAGTTACGTAGCAAGGAGGAAGGGGGGTTGTAAGGTTTTATCCCTTTCTGCCCTTTTGCGGAAAAGAGGAAGGGAGAGCCGAGGGTACCCTGTTTTTTTTTCCTATCGAGAGATGGAGGAGGCTGAGGGGGGGGAGCTCCGGTTGTCCGGGATAATAATATGTATTTTTTTTCGCTTTTGCGGCGGGTTGATGGGAGATTGGGCTGGAGTAATATGCTTTACGCTCCAGCACTCCGGCCTCCTCCTCCTTCTTCTTCTTCTTCTTCTTCTTCTTCTTCTTCTTCTTCTTCTTCTTCTTCGCTAGGGGAGAAGAGAAAGGTGAAGGGGCTGAGGTTGCTCTTTCTTAAGTAGGTTTGTGTTTTTGTCTGGGATGGATGTGTTTTGCTTTTCTATAGGGGGAGAGATGGGGTGTAGAGAGATAAGGTGGGGTGCGGGGGATGCATGGAAAGGGGTTGTGTGTAGTAGATTGCAGTAACTATCCAAGCTTTGTAGTGAAGGGGGAAATCTTTCATACGATCGTTGAGTTGACTTGGTATTCAGATGGTAACCTTTGATATTTTACATAAGCGTACTTATTTTATGAGAGTAGAAATAGAACGAGGTTCAGCTTTCTCCTAGTTTATTAAAACCCCTTAACCTCCATCGAGAGGGACCGTGTTTGGTGAACAGCTAGGGCGTTTCCAAGATGCACTTATTCGCGTGTCTTGTGCCTTCCTTTTCGTCCATTTCTCTCCGAATTTCCTAGTATAAGATAATATCTTGTAGGTTTCTGTCGTCTACGCATGTCCACAGTTCTTATGTGTGGACTGCCAATCGTACTGAGTTATATAACACATACAGCCTGATTTATCTAGTAATTGGATCTGATTAGGGAGAGGCGGGGAGGCCGCTTGCTCACTGTTATTATACGAACTAAATCGCCAATTATAAGGCAGAACGTACTTCGGAGACTTAGAAAAGACTAAAGAAAAGAATTTAAGAGGGGGAAAATCCCGTCACATTCGTTTATTTACACAGGCCACACGCTTCCTAAAACAGCAAAGGTATTATTTTAACTAGCAGTGCGTGTAGTTATCTTGTATCAATCCCATTCAGTTTTTCAATCATAGGGAGAAGGGAGACCTTTAAAAAGAGTTTATTAAAAAATCAGTAATAAGTACTTAGAGATAATCAAAGCCAAGGCGGACAAAGAGTAACAACGCCCTATTAGATCGCAACACATATTTTGCTCTTGCCTATAACATAATCCGGCCAAGCAAACCGGAGTAAGTGCAGCCAATGAGCTCCTATCTACAAGTACACGCGACTTCAAATAGTTGGTCATAAGCGCGCCCCCTCCCTAAAAGCTACAATAGGGAGGGAGGGTAGGGGAGCAAGTTTTTACTTACATGCGTTTTATTACAGTAGTGTGGTGAACCCACACCCAGATACAATCTTGTGTGCAGGCATCTATTTTTATGTAATTTTCCGCTATTCCATACGCCTTATCAACGTTTTGATACTAGTTAAGTATTTTAAAAACACTTCTACACATCAATCTTGCTACGTACTTAACCTGTATAGAGCGAGCCTGCCATGCTCGCACCAAAGTGAAACAAGTCTTGATATTTACCAGCAGAATTTCAAACAAGATAGTAGTCAAAGTAGTTTTTTTGGTACGCTCAACATGGGACCAGTACCTATGCAACACAACTACTAATGTTGGGGGGGGGGGGGGGGCTCGAAGTATATCTTGAGATTTCTTGTTGCTATTTTAATTGATG